TGTATTCAGCACTCGTGAGGCCGCACCTCGAGTGCTGTGTCCAGTTTTGGGCCCCTCACTGCAAGAAGGATATTGAGGCCCTGGAACGTGTTCAAAGGAGGGCAACAAAGCTGGTGAGGGGTCTGGAACACAGGCCATATGAGGAGAGGCTGAAGGAGCTGGGAATGTTCAGCCTGGAGAAGAGGAGGCTCAGGGGAGACCTCATTGCTCTCTATAACTTCCTGAAGGGAGGTTGTGGTGAGTTGGGGGTTGGCCTCTTCTCTCGTGTCATTAGTGATAGGACCAGAGGGAATGGCTTCAAGCTACGGCAGGGGAGATTCAGGCTGGACATTAGGAAGTATTACTTCTCAGAAAGGGTGGTCAGGCACTGGAATGGACTGCCCAGGGAGGTGGTGGAGTCACCGAGCCTGGGGGTGTTCAAGGAAAGGCTGGATGTTGTGTTGAGGGACATGGTTTAGTGGGAGCTATTGGGAATAGGTGAACGGTTGGACTGGGTGATCTTTTAGGTCTTTTCCAACCTTGGTGATTCTATGATTCTATGATTCTAATGCAAATGCTGCAAGCCCAAGTCATTTTAAAAATTTCTGAGAAGTCGTAAGCATCATGCAACAACATGCTCAAATAATTCTCTCCTGCACCTCTTCAGCACATCCCAGAGAGATCTGTCATCACTTCATGGAGCAAAACAGTACACAATCTCAGGATATTATACAGCTCCTGAACTCTAAGCAAAGAAAAACAGACTGCTCAAAGTCCCCTGAGGCATTACATGAACCTCCTGAGGCTCCAGATGAGGAAAAGGAACAGGAAAAGGGACAGCTGGCAGTCTGTTTCCCACCCCTTTTCTACCCCGTATATACCCACAAACTTGCCCCAGGAGGCCTGCTGCCTTCATGGCTCTATCACAACCTCCACAAGAGTCTTTCTATCAACAGAGTGGCATGGAGGGCAAGCGCTACTACTGGCAGCTTTTTTCATGGAGTGGGAGGCTGAGGTACAGAGAGACCATATGCAGCTATATTTTGTTCCTAAATCTTTCCTATACTTTCAAAACCCTCCTCTATGTCTGCATTAATCCACCACTACACTTGAGCTACAACAGAGCGGAAATCTGTCCCCAAAACAGAAAAAAAAAACCTCTTCAAGTCTGAGATCATTGCCTCAACTACAAACCTATTACTTTCTTTTATTTTCTTCTGCTTCATTCATCCACTATGATGCTATAACTGGCAACTATTCTCTGATCCAGTGAAAACTTGTCTCAAGATCTTTGCAGAACTGAGGATGCAGAAATAACTCACAAAGCAGATTGGGACGAATATCTCCCAAAGCAGCAATAGCAGCAGTGAGGTTTCTTCTCACAAGGCTTCTGCTACACAATGGCACAGCTAAGGAAAAAGTGACTAAGAAGCAAGACCCGCTTGGTACAAGTTCTGGATTTCCCTATAGTGGTCAACCTCCAGCAATCCAAGAAAATGTTACTGATAAAAATGTATCCATCCTCTGTTCCATAATGCCTAAGAAATTGCTAGCTGATAGTGCTCCAAATAAGCAGCATCTTCTCTGATTCCTATGACAGCTTTTCAGTTGGTGCAAAAAAAGTGACGGAACATCAACACTGTTCTCCTGAAAAACGACTTGCTCTTAATGTGTAGGTTGCTCCAAAAGTAATACCTTCTATTTATTTCCATGGAAATTACAACAAATACAAAGAGCACAATAACATTACTTGGTAGAGCAAATTCTCAGCTATAAAACACTACTTTTCAACACTCACCATTAGCTATGTATTTTTTGCCAGCAATGAACAAATGCCTACCTGCTGCGATCCTAAAAACCTGTACCAGTGGAGGTAACATACTGTTGTTGTCACTGCTGAAATGCACCACCTACCTCCTCACAGTATTCACATCCACAGCGTGGCTCCCATAAAAGTTTAGCAAGTGTCACCGAATATCAATGGGCGCCATTTTTTCACATGGAGAAATTCAGTGACACATTTTCGTTTCTTTGCACCTCCATGTCAGATACCATTTTGTTAGACTGCCCCTCTGCTGCCATCTGCCACATAGCAACAAAATGTAATGGGATATTGGTGGAAAGGTTCAACATCTACTGCCATGCCACCAACATCCACTTCTGATTTTGTGGGCCAAAATAATAAAATAAGAGGCATTACTTTTGGAGCAGTTCCAGCATTTTACGTTTTTGTGTATTTCCTCCAGTATCAGCTTCATATTTCAAGAAACTGTCTAACCCAAAGTGTTCCTACAGCACTTACCAGTAATTCCTTCCTGTTCTATACAAATACCACTAGTTAAATTTCTCAGAAGAAATATTTCTGTTGGAAACTTCAAGTTTATTTTTTCAGACTTACTCCAACCCCTCACTAGATACATCTGTATTCAATAACAGACCCGTATGGGACCAAGCTCTATCGGGCATAATGAGTTCAGAGAGGAGACAAAGACTACCTACCTACAGAAAACATGCTACAAGTTTGAATGCAGAGCAAAACTACCATCACAACATCTGCTCTGCAGTAACTGCCTACCTATGACATACTAGAAGACATTACATTTGAATTCAGTTGGGGGCACTACCATAGCTAGCTTAGAAGAGGAAGGGGAACGGAAATGTGCCATGAAGCCAAGCAGCTTCAAAAGACTGATCCAAAGTGACAAGAAATATATGGTACACAAGCGCCTCCTTACCAATAGCCAAGCGAGTTGGTTTCTTCCTTGGGGGGTCCCCAGCACTGGAATTAGCATCTTCTTCCTTCTATTTCATTGAGAAGAAATAGGGTTAGAGAGTTAGAGGGACAGACATGCTGTGGCAAGCATTAAGGATTGGAGTTAAGCTACTGCAAAGACGGCAAGAGGGCTGGCAGTAACAACTTGAGCCAACAGCTAGGTACAACAGCTCAACATCAGCAGAGCTGAAGGTCTAGCGAATCCCAACTCACCAAGAAAAACATCATTGATAACCCAGAAGGAAAAACTCTATACCTGATTTAACACCAAGACATCTCCCACCTCCCAGTTTCAGAACAAGTATGACTTCTATTATTTTTCAGTACTGCCACCTTGTTTTTATTTATCTTATTTATACCGGTTTACGTGTTCTTTTGAGGTGCAGATAGACCCGCTGGCCTGTTTTCTGGTAATGCTTTTCCACATACTGCTTCCCAAAGCCCAGGAACGTGTTCATGCAGATATATAAGCCGCCATCAGACTCCTGGAAGGAAGGGGAGAGAAAAACTGAAGGGAGACAGCAAAGAATGCCATTCCAACAGTTAAGACAGAAGGTACCTCTTGGAATGCTATCAACTACTGATTAAATAACAGCAATAGTTCATCGCTATATATCAGTTATTTAGTAACTGATCTGAACTAAGCTGGCAAGCCCTACTCTGGCTGTCCCAGGATAGGTGCTCCTATAGGATGATGTACAGGTAAACCAGATGACTCCTCACACACAGCAGGATGATACCCAACCTGTGATGTCTGAGCAAGATCCCCAGGAGGGTGAGGATGCCCCACCAGAGGCCTGCAGCATGCGTCGTTCACACAGTCAGAACGTGGCATAACCACTCCCAGTGCAGCTGTGCCACCCTGCCTGCAGGCACAGCTCCCGTGGCCATGGGGAGCTCTGCCAGGCCACAGCACAGGGAAGGCCAGCACACCACTGCTTGTTTTCACTGTTGCACGCAAAAGCTTGTGAGGAACTCTGTACTGGCTACAGGTGAGCCCTGCTCACCCCAGAAGCACGAAGACACCTCAGCAAAGATACCAGCCTTAAGCCAAAGCAGGCAGGGATCCAAATGCAGAGAGTGGGCAGACAGGGCAAGAGCACAGGGACTGGCACTGCGCGGGGCTCAGCAGGGAAGCCGGGCCAGGGGGTGGGGTTTTGTTTCCCAAAGAGCGTCCACCTTCGGAGGGCAGCGCCTTTCTCCCGAGGGCTCCGGCACATCCCCTGCGGAGGAGACCGAGGGGCACTCGCCCCTCCCTAGGCCCACCCAGGCCGGCTCGGGAAAGAGGCGCGGGGACGCCGACACCGGTGTGGAGAGGGCCGCGGAGACGCCCACTGCCATCTTAGTGACACAGCACCGGCTCGCCCCCGCCCGCGGGGCCGCGTGACGCCGCCAGGCCAACGGGCAGCGCCCCCCGCCCGACTACAGCCCCCGGCATACTCCGCGGCGGGCGAGGGGCCGACGAGCTGCCCACGCCCGCTCCGGCCGGGTACTACAGCCCCCAGCGCTCCGCGGCCGGGAGGGGTGCGCCGCGAGGCACGTCGGGGGCTGTAGTCTCGGACGGCCCTGCGCCGCGCCGGGCCGCACACGGCCCCGGCAGCCAGGGAACCACAAATCCCATGGCGCCCCGCGCGGGCGGCACCCCCGGCGCCCGGGTGGGCTGAGAACGGGTGGGAGCGGGGAGCAGCCCGGCCGGTCGCGGAGGTCGGCCTCGGGGCGAGCTTACCGGCGTGTCGAAGGAGAAGGCGCACTCGTCCTTGTGGACCCGGTCGCCGGCCTTAGGCACCCGGATGGACGGCAACACCGAGAGCAGCGCTTCGCTCAGCTCCGCCATGACAGCGGCTCACTGCAGCTCCGCCCGCGGCCCCACCCTGACCAATCGCAGTCCCGCGTGCTCGTAACGTCTCTGGCCAATCCCGTGCCGCGCGGGCACGCCCGTAAAGTGGCCTGGAGACGGTTGCCCCGCCCACCTGCCGCTCGGGCCGGCCGGCTCTGCCAATCGCAGCCGCCCTTCAGCCGTCACGGGCGGCCCTGCCGAGTTCCTCAGCCAATGGCGTCGCGGCGTGGGGCGGAGTCTCACGCAGATCGACAGAAGGCAGGAGGCGGGGCGGGGGCGGGCACGGGGCGGGATCGGAGGCGGGGCCCTATTCCGGGCGGGGACCAATGGGGCGGCGCCACCGCGGCCGAGCGGGAGATTTGAATCGCGGCAGCGCCGCCGGCTGGGCACTGCGTGGCTCCACTCCCGCCGCTATGGGCGCCTCGGGCAGTGCTCCTACCACTCCCGTGCCCGGTCCCCTCCGCAACCGCCACCTAGCTCACGTTAGCGATCCGCGCTCCCCGAGTGCCGGCATCCTGCGCACCCCCATTGAGGTAACAGCATTTCCTCCTTTCCTCCTCCTCACGGCTCTCCGCGGCCCTCAGCGCCCGCTGTCCTCCCGCAGGTGGTGAGCTCCCCCGCCGGCAGCCCCCAGCCCGGGCCTGCCCAGGCAGGCGCTCAGGACGCCGACCCACGCTCTCCGACGCCCGGCATATCCCGCACGCCCATGAAGGACACGCAGAGCGGTGAGTGCCGGGCCGCCTCCCCGGGGCCTATTCCCGGTGTGGGCTGAGCGCTGTCTCTTCCCCGCAGACAGCGTGGAGAGCCTGGTCAGGCAGCTCGGAGAGGCCTTCGCCGTCGACACCGCGCCCCCGGAGCCTCCGCCACCCGCAGCAGCGCGCGCGTGTGAAGAGCCAGCCTTGCGGGGCGCCGCGGAGCTGCAGCCCGACAGGGGCCCCGAGCCCGGCTGCGAGGCGACCCTGCGGCCGCACCGCTGTGCCGGGCCCGGCCTGGCCTCTGGTAAGCCCTTTGGGGGTGGCTGAGGGGCTGTGTGTGTGGGGGGTGTGTGCTGGAGCAAGCGGTCTCCGACGGTTCTTCCAGCTGGCAGGCTGGGGACTGCTTCTCTAAATGAGTTCTCTCAAGGATTGAAGAGTTACACCCCAGAGGAGGGTGCACAGAGGACAGAGCTGGGCTCTTATCAGTGTTGCCCACTGTCAGGACTAGAAGCAATGGGCACGAACCAGAGAGTTCATGAGAGAGAACATGGTTCTCTCTGAACACCAGGCAGCGCTTCTGTGCTATGCTGGTGATGGTGCCCTGGCGTGGGTTGTCCACAGGCTCTGGGCTCTCCCTGGAGATCTCTAATACCCACACAAATGTGGTCCTTGGTACTCAGCCCTCAGTATCCCTGCTGGAGCAGAGCATGGTCAGATAGATGCAGAGGTCCCTGCCAGCCTCCACCTTTGTCTCGTTCTGATCCTTTTACCTTCTGGATAACATGTATGAGATCATATGTCAGGAAGCACGTAAAATCCAGGACCATTTAGCCTTGTTGTGATGCACCGACTTGTTTCCTTTGCTTCTCAGTGAACAAGCATGCAAGACGCAAGGCCAGCAACAAGATCTTGGCAACCTCTGGTGGGGTTGTCCGTTCTCCCTTCAGTATCCTACAAGACGATAATTCCCCCAGTGCTCCTGTCCAACGTCAGGTAAATCTCAGTGCTTCATACTGTGGGAAGGGAAGGGGCTGAAATAACAAATCTCTCCATTTTTTTGTATAGCCACAGGCTGGAACTATAGTCTCCCAAACCTGTAGAGCCTGGTGATATCCTGAGAATGCTTATATGGGATGATCTTATGCCTAGATCCCTCTCAAATCTTATTCCATATCTGCATTCCCAACTCTCCCACAATATTACTCCCTTCCAGTGCATCCTCTCTTTATTTTCTATGAAAATCCTGTGCTGTTACATTAGAGTGCCAGATATTCCATCAAATATGGAATGAAAATGGCTTACGTATTTTACTGAGAGTTGAATAACTCAGTTTGTATTTTACAATCATTTTTTTCCTTCTGTAGGTTAAGAAGCACATACTGGGGGAGAACCCTGGGGAGAAGGATGTGGCAGTGGATCTGAGCAGGAACCTCAAAGCTGGGAACTGTGCTTGGAGTGATTTAAACAAAGAAAACCAACAGTGTCCTTTTGTGGAGAACTAGAGATTTCTTTTCCAAAAATCTTCCTGTAATTCTCTTTTCAGAGAGTCCTCTAGGACTGGGAAATCTTGAAATCAACTAAGACTCCAGACTCATGATTTATCTTCACCTTTTTCTGTTGGGAAGATAATACTCTTAACCTTATGTATATTCATATACGTACAGGCTTTGGTTCTCCGTAGGCTGTACTGACTGTATAGTTCTTATAGTAAATAAATTAATCTTAAAACTTAGCTGGTGTTTGATACTCTGTATCTGAGGTGACAGTAGGAGCATTCTGCTTGTCCAGTATGTGTGTCTTCTTTTATTCTAAGTTTAAGTGACTAATATGTCAGCTTTCCATTAGCTCTGATGCTCAGCTGTCTCCTGAGCTGAGAGATTTAAATTGTTACAGATCTCCAAGGCTTGCAGGGTTATAATTTCAGTGCCCCATTCTAACTCAGAGCAGTGAACTTCAGGACAAATGGGGCTATTCTCAACAAAACAACAGAGGAACACGTTCCTTGTGGACTTAAAAGAATACATTCTTTAGAGAGAGAATCAAGAGAGTGTTCACGGGAGAAGAGCGGCTCTGGAAATAACAGTCTATGGTGCTTATGTCAGCTTTCTTTATTTGCCTGGACTATGGAGACCTAGAACAGACATGAAAGCGGTGGCTGATGGCTACTGGTTAGACAGGGTCACTGCACAATATAGGAATGAGGCAAAAAGAGAAGAAACAGCAAGAAGCAAACAAGAATAAACAAAACATTCTCTGGTAGTCTGGAAGGTCTGAGGGCTATTTTTTTTCCCCCATTTATCCATAGATAAGTCTTAAGTTTTTCCCAATAGAAAGTGAGCCCAAGTTACACTACCTGCTTGGTAAAGGTTGCATATTATAAATCTCAAGCCTAGTATATCTCTGAGGCTGCCTGCAGAAGTATGACAGCCCCACAGAAGCTAGGTATAGTTAAAGGTCTAGGACAGAGGTGTTGAATGAGGGGTCCTCCAAGGGCTGGATACCAAATGTGGGTGGTGGTGTTTGGAGGAAGATGCAGTGTTTGAGTTGTACTGGAAAGTCCAGAGATATAACTGATGTGTTTTGTAGGTCTTCAAGCCTGCAAGAATTTAGGCTTACTTAGAGTTAGAGAGAACAGCCAGTGTGTGTGCTCCCCCTCCTTCCCCTTTCACTCTAGGAGACCCCTGTAAGCAACCTGTGTGTAGAGAGAAGTGAGAGTGACAAGTGGGTGTTTCTGTTGTGCTTGGCTGATGATGCGGTTGCCGTGGGCCATGCTTCCGCTGTTCTTTCTCTCTCCTCTGCTGTCCTTAGTTCCAAATCTTGAGGAAGCTGTCCCAGGAGCCAGTGGCAACAGCCATGCCATCTGCTGTAACGCCCAAGCAGCTCACCCTGTTGTCGTGGCCAGAAAGGATTCCTGATGGGAGAAGATGATGAGAAATCAGTAGAAGAAATAGGGCTGAGGGAAGGCAAAAGGCTTAACTGAGCTGAGTGCTTTCCCCACAGTCTGTGTACCCAGTCTCTTATGCATCATTCTGTTCCTGCAAAACGTGATTAGCAATCTGTACCTGGCTAATCAGAGCAAGTGTGCAGAAGAACACTTGTGCATGGTGTACAACTAGGGTATCTGGCCAAGGAGCAATGTTCTTAAGAAGGTCCAGCTAGAAGCATCCTCAATGCAAGAGATCGTTGTCAACTGTTTTCAACATAAAGCCATTGTAAGGCTAAGAAAGGAAGGTGTCCTTGACAAAACTAAAAGAGCAATGCTTTTGGAGATCAAATGTGGGCTCTGATAAGTTTTGGGGGACTAGGAGCCACTTCTGGAAGAAAGATAGTAACTAGTTGTATCCTTTGCATCAGAACATCCAAAGCTGCTGGACAGAAGCCCAGGTCCATGCTCAGCTTGGTGCCTGGCCACTGTGCAGCGCTGTAAGAATGTATGAAATAATACTGATGTTTGAGAGCAGTTTAGCTAAGAGGAATATTGACACTTTTCCCTTCTGAAAAACTTGTTTAAAGCATTGACCTGATTAACATTAAAGCCAACATTTCATAAGATAGTTTATTATTTAAGCATAAGAAAGCACTGCTGAGTTTTGGTTGGTATAGGATGTGTCCCTTTCAGAAAAATTAGGGATACATTGCTTTTCCTTTCTTTGGTAGGGATAGAAGACTCTGCAGAGAATGAAAGGGGTACTTCCAGGAGCCACTCACCCACACGTTCTGCTTTCAGGGAGTCCCAGATGTTGCAATTAAAGTCATCATATCCAGCAAGCAAGAGGCGCCCGCTGCGGGAGAAGGCGACTGATGTGATTCCGCAGATGATGCTTTCGTGAGAGTACACTATGAGCTCCTGGTCTGCCCGGAGGTCAAAGAGGCGGCAGGTGGCATCATCTGAGCCAGTGCAGATGGCTTCGCCGTTAGGGAAGAACTGTGAAGGGCACATCGGATTTTAATGAGGCTGTTTTTTTGGGTTTCCACCTCTCTGCTAACCATCAGGAAGCCACCTTCTCATAAGTGCTTCTTGGGTGTGTCCTGCCCCAGCCCCCAGAGCAAAAATCAAGCTACACAGGTGTGGCAGAAGAATAGCCACGTGTCAGGTGAGTGAAGCTGTACATTGCAGGAAGCCAGCAGACCCATTTAATTAGCAGAAAGAGATGACGCTGTATACTGTTCTGTCACCTCTAGGGCTCTGGTTTGAATCCTTGCCTCTACGGTGGATACTTTCCCAGATCTCTCTGCTGCCTTACATAAAGATTTCCTCTTCAGATGATCTTGTGATCCCAAGTTAGCACCCGTACAAGCTGAAGACGAGACCTTCAGCTTAATTAGATATTCCAGCTACCTCACTTGTGTCTTCTGTCAAGGCTCCTAGACCATGCCGAAGCTGAGGTTCCCAACAGCTGGTACAAGCAAAGCAGCATAAACACGTGTTATCGTGCTGAGCTCCACAGATGACAGTGTACTAGCTGGGTCCAAGCCAGGTTTGAAGAATGGCAGGTGCTTTGGTGCCCCAGTGCCTGGGAAGAACCAGCCCCCAACCTGAACTCAAGCCCTCTTTGCTTCAGGCTGAATCCCAAGACCCTTGTTCCTCATGTGACTGACAGCCTCTCTCAACCTTGACCTGAGACTCTATTTCATTGCTGGCCCATCCTCTTTTTTCTTTTTTCCCCTCTACCACACAGATGGCATACGTACGCAGATGGCATTGATGTCAGACTCATGCCCTGAGAATGTCTGGCGGCAGGTACCCTCCCGCACGTCCCACAGTTTGGCAGTGGCATCACAGGCTCCAGAGATGAACAGTTTGAAGTCTGGGGAAACTGCCAAGCTCATACAGTCTCCAGTGTGACCCAGGAAAACGGTCTTCTGCTGCCCTGTCTCAATGTCCCAGAGTGCACTGGGGAAGAGAGAACTTGTCAGAGCCAGACAAGGCCATACAGTGCTGTTAGCTGGCTTAAAGAGTTGTTCTGCTTGCAAGGAAAAGGAAGGAAGTCATGGGCCTGGCTACCACATGAGATGAGTGGGAGTATAGACCCGTTTCACTGATAGACCTGTATCTTGACCCAACCTGCACAGGGAAAAACAGCAGCTGCAGAGCAATGAGTCTGGCTTCTTGAGTTGCTCTTTGTGGCCTTCAGGTAAAGCATCCTTACATAAAGTGGAAAGAAAGATGCTGCAGAAAGAGCACCACTTAGCCATAAGAGCCAGAGGGGCTGCATAGAGTCTGCGCCTGAGATCACACACCACCATGAGGCAGAGTTCTCCCAAAATGCAGTATATGATGGGACCAGTGTGAGTTTTCAGTGCCTGTGGCTGCTCATGTCAATAAGATACAGAGGATAACACTTACCATGTGGTATCTCCAGAGCTAGTCACAATACTGTTGTCATCAAGAAACCGGCAGCAGGAGAGGTAACCTGGGGAGCAGGAACCAACGAATATGAGACAGAGCAGGGCTACAAGAGTGAGATTTGGAAGCAGAGGCACCCAGGCCGCTGACAGGCAGAACACCCACCTGTATGAGCTGAGAGTTCCCTGCTCACTTTGACATTGCCTTCACGTGTCTTGAGGTTGTAGATGGAGCACATGTTGTCAAGGCCCCCGCAGGCCACAAAATTACCTGAGGGTGCATAGGCACAGGTCATGACCCAGGAGGAACGCAAAGGGATGGCGTGAACCTGGGAGGACAAGAAACCATGTCTGGCCTCTGGCAGCAGAGGAGATGGGAGAGCAGGTTGAGGGCATCTGAAGGGTTCCAATCCCGCATCCCATCCCAGTTTTCTGCAACCACATAACTGTTACCTTGTTAGTTGTGTATGTGTCCCACACAATCAGTTTCCCATCTTGTGAGGCACTGACCAGTAGTCTGCAAGAAAGGAATAAGATTGTGTTAGTAGGTCTTTCTTTGCCAGAGCCTTCTTGCTCTCTATATCTACGTGCTGCCAGGCACCCAGCAGATCAGCAGCATCTTTCTCACTTGGAGTCTGTTGACCAGTGCATGGCGTAGATCTTGGCCAAGTGCCCACGCAGAGTCCTTCGGGTCCGCATCTGAATGCGGCCGACAACCTCCATTCCAGACACAATCTGAGGAAAGAGCAGGGGGAGGGAAAGAATTAATCTGGGACCAACATGAGCTGTACTGCCTCCCTATCCCTGCTTCCTAATTGCTTCCAACCTGGAGAGTCCCCTTGGAAGTGATGCTAGCTGACCTCATGCATGTTAGCCTGCCCAATGTGTCCTGGCTCTTACCTGAGCAAGTGTTGTGTCTGCACAAGCTTTCCGGGCATCCTGGAGGAGAGACAAGAGTGGTTGAGACAGAAAAAAAGGTGTGTGATGGAGGCAACAGCAAGTAAAATTCAGAGGCCTTCCCTACAGTCTCATTTAAAATGGATAGAAGTTTTGCTTAGTTTGTATTATACCTAGCACAGGGAGTTCCTGCTTTGTGATAAGGGCTGCTCAGCACCAGTCAAACAAGCAGTAGAGAGGTGAGTCTAAGGCTGCCCAGTTCCCCATGCAACACCTTTTCCATGAATCCTCCAGCCTGACAGAACATCAGCTGCCCCCACAGACAGAGGTCTGGAGATGAATTAGTCTTTGCTCATCTGCAGTCATGATGTCAGTGTCCATTCCATTCTCCCCCTTGTTGTCTACTTTTCCTTCCAATCCCTCCCTCCATACTAGGAAGATCTCCATTAGTACATAGAGGGCTGTGTGGTGTTGCAGAAGGCTCCAAGGATGTACTTGGAGAAAGCTCAGCTCCAAGTTGGAGACTTAGACACAAGGGATAGACACTCTGCCAGCAGTTTCATGACTATTGCCAGCGTTACCGCAATCTGCTTCTTCAGCTGCTCAGCCTCCTGCTTCATCTGTTCCATTTCTCCCATCTTTCTGAGCTAGAGGTGGCTTTTCCACGTGGGCAACCTTGAATCTGGGAAGACAAATTAAGGGAGAGAGATGTGAGGTAGAAAGGCCTACAATAAGACTGCTCAGTTACGGAAATGCAGGTGTCTCTGATAAAGGCTGATTTTTGGTTGAACGACTGAAATGTCTCACTGTACCCAGTCAATGCCCTTAGCGTTTGGGAAGGTCATGCTAGACCTCATCAAACATCCTTTTGGTCTTGTGTCCTGCTTACATGAACACTGAGAAGCTGAAGAACTTCTTGCTGAAGTTCTGCTGCACTTGCATCAACAGGCAGTGCTCACCAGTCCTCCATCAAGGAAACTGAGGGATTGCTCTAACGAAGTTCCCTTCTAGTTTAAATAAAATAAAACTAATTAATAATAATAATAATAATAATAATAATAATAATAATGTGGACACCTCGGGAGGAATCTGAGATTAGCATAAGCAGATAGTAGTATTTCTCCTATTTTCCTAGCCCGGTTTTTCACTAGCTTCCAAAGCTAGTGGCAGCATTTACGATATGCAAGGCTTTCACAGGTTTTCTACACAGTTGTCCTGTCACTTTTTGTACCACAGTCACAGTTTAGTATCTTCAGCGCACAGTGGTGAGGAATTCCACAACTCAGTAGCATGCTTTATGAAGAAGTTCCTGGTTCTGATACACCCAAAAGGCACTAGTTCCACTTGGAGGTTCTTTTGAGTCGAAAGAATCTGCAAATAAATGGTCTCTATTCACCTCAGCATCACTCAGAATTGTATCTGAGTGATGCTGAGGTGAATAGATAAATATCTATTCTATCATATATCTATCATATCTATTCTATCATTCTATTGTCATATTCATATCTATGAATACGACAAAATATCTTTGTCATATTCATCTTAATCCATCCCTTTTGCAGAACGCAGAGCACGATTCGTCATTCCTTACGTGTAAACTGTTGCATCCCATCACCTCTGTTGTTCTCTAAGCACTTTTCAGTTGTTTACAGAGCACAGATGACACGCTTGCATAGAGAGGGCAATGAACCAGAACTGCAATTCATGTTCAAGTTACAGCTACACTATAAGATCGAACAACATCTCAGTTTTGTTCTCTCTTTTCCATTTGGTGTACTTAAAACTCCACCAGTGATTCTGACATCTTCACTCTTGAAGACAAATATGGTCTTTATTATTTCAGTCTTTCTCCTTGGTAGGAATGTGTGTCCAAAAATGTTTTAGGTGTTCATCCTTAAAGCTAGCACTTTGTCCAAGACCTGTAAGACTCCAAGGACCTGCAGAACTACTGCTACCCTCTGTGAGCCATAGCATTCCATCCTGCTCTGGCCTGTTGCCCAAAGGCCTTGCTTTCTCCATGCCAGGCTGCTCTCTGGCTGTGGGCACTCCCCAGGCATTGACAGCTCCTGAATCCCAATTTTGCTTACCATCTTTATACAGTTGCTCCTCATGAACTCTTTGATTTTCTCTTCAGAATCCCTTCCCCTAAGCAGCTCTGTCTTTTGCTGCTTCAAGCAGGATTAAATTCTGCTTGGTCAGAGTTTGCTGAGCGAGATGCAGGTTTCCCTCAGCTCCCAGGAGGCAGGTATTTATCCTAAGGAGAGGATTTTTCAGACTACTCTTTGCAGAGGAAGTCTCGTACCAGCTGCCTGCAAGCCTGAACAGTGTTACAGCATGGCTGCCCCTTGCCTTCTGCATGTACCACGCATGGTTAGGGCGCAGGGTGCAGGCCCAGGGACACCATGTCAGAGCCTGAGGAATGCATCCTAGTGGTGGCTTAGGGCTGTCAGACTCAGCTGTATAGAATGATGGGGGGGAGATCAGCACCTGAGCTAGCCCCTTGCCACTGTTTTTTCTTTCTCTTGACAGAGCAGTGGTGACGAGATTGCTCCCAGAGGTGGAACAAAGGGAGCCAAAGGTGGAACAAAGAATAATGTCCTGAAAACCCACCTGAAGGCACTTCTCTTTGGAAAAGAATTGAACAACTCACTCCATCCCTCAGCTCACTGGCTGACTGGGCAGATGCTGAGGAGGCCTTGCAACTTCCAGCAGCAGGCTCCTCACCTTGTGATGTTTGTCCCTCAGCTTTGCTGTACGGACAAGCTCTGGATGCTGTGTGCAGCTTTGGTCACTGTCTCCTAGCACACTAAGTGGTAAACCTGAACCTTCAGCATCCCCAAGCAGACCAGCTCCTTCATTCTGGTCCAGAATTTGCCTTCTCATAGTTTTCCCCAGGACCAATCCTACCTCCCCTCCATCATGTCTCCACAGCCCTTAGCACCAGATGTCTGTTTCTGCTTCCCAGTTCACTCTCTCCTTCCGTCCTCCTCTGTTTGGTCCACAAAGCATGAAGGCTTGTCTTCTGTGGTAATCTCTTCCACAGAATCACAGAACCATAGAAAATCCCAAGTTTGAAGGGGGATCCACAAGGATCACTGAGCCCAAATTCTGGCTCCACACAGCACCACCCAAACCTCAAACCCTATGTCTGAGAGTGGTGTTCAAACACTCCTTGAACTCTGACAGCTTGGGGCCATTGCCCTGAGCAGTTTGTTCCAGGGCCCCACTGCCCTCTGCTCCCAGTGCAGCTCCATGCCATCCCCTTGGACCACGTTGTTGTCACCAGAGAGAACTCATCCTCAAGCTTTTCCTGGCTGGAACAGCACTGTCTCTCTGTTTTGCAGCCCACCTTTTCACAGACCTTTGCCTGTCTGAAATCACCATCCATTTGCCTTCCCTTAGCCATCCTTGTGGATTTCTGTTTTTGTCTGCTTAGACATGCACAGTAAAGACAGACATTTTTTCTCTGTTCCCTCCATTCCTGCAATCCTTGCCCAAATGAAACTGGCTGCATGCATGTCCCCCAGCATTCCTTGGGCCCACAGATTCTTCTGTATCTCTTCTGTTTGTTGTTTTTCATTTTTGCTTTTAACTTGGTCTCTTCCTTTCCTGGATGTATATTTTTCTCAAACACGGCACTAGAGAGCCATTTCCTAGGAGTCTTCTTTGCCCTCTGCCAACATCCATGACAAGATGCAGGGCTTTCAGAGTCGACAGGAAGATCAAAGGGCAGGGGCATGATCTCAAGGATGGATAAAAAGGGCTAAGTATAGAGAAGGTGCAGGTCAGGTTCAGATCTCCACCTGAATCTTTAAATCCCTCTGAGGGAACAATCTAAATGATGTTGGGAATTGTTCTCAGCCTCAGGACAAGGAGCCACAGATGAGCAGTAATAATAGCCCTAGTTTCACCTTGCACCTCCACCCATCACATTCCACTGAAATTTGTTCCGAGCAAGTGATGAAGTCCCCACTGCAGCACTGCTGTATCCTCAGAGGACCATGGCAGGTGTGCAGAAGAACAGCTTGTCATGTAAATTTAGGGCAGGAAATGGGGGAACTGAATCTGTGAAGATGAAGAGAACATGGAATGGAGCTTGGAGCCTGGCCAAGGCACAGTACTGCCCTGAGCAGGACCTTAGGGATGCACATTTCTTACACATCTGCAGATAAGCTCACGGAAGCTGACAAGATTGGTGTTAAATGGAAAGGTTTCCAAATGATGCAATCCCAGTGCTTTCTGGAAGTAATGGCTCTTTCAGATCAATGCTAAGCAGTAGAGGAAACCAAACTGTTATGCTCCTCTGAGAAATCATTTTTACCACTGTCACTGTTGTGCTACAACAGAGCAGGAGAGGACCCATGACACCAGCACTGCTCCATAGCGCCGTGCCTCTAGTGAGCCACACACACCTGGAGAGCACTGCAATGCAAACAGCCTGTGCTCAGTCAGACCACCTCAGCCCCTCTTCTGCTCTCTGCGTTGGTCACACTCATCCAGTTGACAGTTCTTTGACTTGGAAAGCAGCTTTCCTCTCTCTGCTCTCTTTCACTGCGCTTTTCCCTTCTGCCTTTTCTGGTGAGCTGGCTGGAGCCCCCTGCTGCATTACTTCTGTTGGTGGACTGCCAGACTCATTCTGAGCCCCTGGGCACCTTCCCTGCCTTTTGCTGCCAAACCGTGACTTGTCAGGGCAGTAGCCATGTACTTTGCACCATGTCAGGGCAGCACTCCATCCTACACTCCCAGGCACAGTCCTGCTGAGCCACCTGCACCATGTGCTTGTGGGAATGGGGTGAGCAACAGGTGGGAGAAAAGGGAATTGGACCCTCAAATCTTCTCACCTCAGGGTGAACTGCCCTGCACTGGGCAGGGAGTGGTCTCTCTGTGGGATGCTGAATGAGGGCTGCAAATTGAAAGGGGAAAGATGCTGGAAGGAAGGTTGAATATTAATAGGTAGCATCCCTGGGTCTCCGCATAATCCCCTGGCTGGCCTTGCATGCTCGCCCTGGTGACCCTGGGCTCCTTGCAGAGCCGGATACAGAGATGATCCCCCTCTCCTTTGATGGAGATCAAAAGCCAGGGTAAAATTGCCCTGCTCTGTTCCTCTCTTTCTGTGGGCTGCTCTCCATCAAAAAAAAAACTGATTGCAAAGAAGTGTGCAGGAACACACCGGTAGCATAGAGTTGCACAGGGTGGTGGGCACCAGCTCCCTCAGGGGAGGCACTGCCCTCCTGCACCAGTCTGGAAGCCACTGGGATTTAGCTCTCATGGTGAGAACAAGTGACCTCATCCCTGTCCAGAGCCCCTCATCACTGTAAAGGCACCTCAGCACCATCGCCAACTTCTCCACCGTCTCTTCCCTCCCTCTTCCTCAGATACCTGCACACAGGATCAGCACCTGTGCAAAGATCCCAGTGCACGCCACAGCATCAGACCAAGAAACCCAGCGTCCCAAGTGTCAGCTTCACCGCAGTGACATGGGGAGCAACAAAGCAGCATCCTTACCAGGATCTGTAGCGTAGGCTGCGTCGTTTTCCCTAGCTGGGAGTCTCACAGCCTGCCTCCCAGCTGAGGATGGCTTCCCTCCAGCCAGAAGGTCCTCGTCCCCTCGTGGTGCCCAATCGGTCCTGTCGTCCACCCTCGCTCCTTCTCAGCTCCTCAACCTCTCCCAGGACTGATCTCCCCATGGGGAGCTGGAAGGCTGTGGACGGGAGGGGTCGGGGGAGGGCTGATTCCAGGAGCAGCGTCAGGCAAATTAAATCAGACACCAGAGACTTGGGGAAATCGGATTGGGACGTAATGCAAAGCAGGTGGATGGGGAGGGGTGAAAAGAGAGAGTAGCACACTCCTCCTGAAGGGAAAGCAAACATTGTGGGCACATTTGAATCCATGTTTATGTGAGCCACGAACTAATAAAGTGAAGATTAGCCAGAACAGGCTAGGATTATAAACCACTGGGGCAGGGCTCATGTACCTCACGTCCACAGAAATTTCCCATTTTTGCAGATACAGAGTGCCACTTGTGCCCTGTGCACGCCAGGAAGAGGAAATTGTGTCACTCACAGCAGTCCTGCCAAGGCAAGACCCACAGTGGTGTAGGGTAGGGGTCCCAGCCTCTCTGGGCAGCAAACTCCAGCTCTGCGTGGGGAAAACAGAACTGGGCGCAGAGGCCAGGAGCAGTAAAAGATTTGGTGGTGTGCCTTTTGGCAGCCACTTTAGTGGGATGCTGCGAGGGGATTATCTTGGCCTCAATCTTTTTTAATCTCTCCCACAGCTTTGGCCCAAGCCTGAGATAAATACCTTTTAACGGATCTCATCTGACGTCAGGAAGCCATCAGTCTAATCACCCAAGCCACCTTTGGGTAGAGCAAGCCAGAGCTGTGGACACTGGCCCCACACCCCACCAAAAAGGGTCTCATCAAGCAGGAGACATCCAGCGATCCCATGTAAATCACTGAGAAGAACCTGTGGACGCAAGGACCTTGTGGATCTCCTTTTAAGGGTAGCGAATTTGAAATGCACACATCAAATTTTCTTTTTCCCATGATCCTGGGAAGATCAGGAAACAAAAAGGGTTGTTGATGCATGATTCCCAGGTTTGCATATTGAGGAAGTGGCAGGATTCAGAAGGGGGAAGGTCTTCCCTGCTTCAGTCCAGCTTCTTCAGCACTGTAGGACTGAGGCTAACACAACGTTCCACTAGGCAAGAGGCCTTGAGCCAAACAGCAGGGAGGGGAACGCTCATGCACCTCCTACCAAACTGGCCCCAACTGTTCAGACTTATTTCCTTCCATACCACATTTGTGGTCTCTGTGCAGCTCACACCAAGGCCTGTTTCATAGGCCTTGAAGTTTCACGCTTCCCAAGAAAATGCTCACTGCTCTTTTTCACGCTCCATATCCACCTCATTCAGTTCCTGCTTGGCTACAATATAATCCCATCTCTGGACACTAATCCCCTGGGCAATGACAGCAGATTGTCTCTATATCAGCATGGAAAATTATAAACAAAATATTTGCCTTCACAGACAATTTGGTGCATGAATTAAAACAAAACAAAACACCTCACTTCAGGGAAATGTGAGTGTACAGTGCTTTTTCTTTAAAAGAGCTCCCATGTTTTCCAGGGGTAAGCCATAGCAGAGCTTTCTTCCCCTATTACAAGTAGATGGCATCTGGACAAATACTTTGTTTTCTTTCATTAAGGGCTCAATCTCCTTCCATCATTTGTTAATTAAATTTCCATCAGCAACCAAGCTGCATGTGTCCCTCCTCGTGTACAGACTCAAGCTCCCACTACGTTTGTCCAGCACGTTCCTTTTATTCCATATATTCACAGTGTCTCATCTTCCCTTGCGCATGCCAGTCTTGAGGTTTTCAAGGTTTGCAGGCGCCAAGGAAATCCAGAGGCTTCTCCTTTGAATTCCTGAATATGAGACAGCCCTTGCTCATCAAAGTCTCCAGGCTTTCCCTAGCACTCTTGGCTTTGGCCCCAGAGGACCAAGAAGCTTGTTCTGAGAGGAACCTGGCAAGGGGGCCTTCCTACTTCTGAGTGACACAAACATATTGTCAGGGCACTGAAGAAAGATCCCGGTGTACCTAGCTTTAGTACTCTGTTCCTGCTACCATTTTTCAGCTGCTGGGCAGTCACAGAGAAGAAAACTGCATTCCCTCCCCATCACTATGGCTCTAGCATGCTAATAAACTGCTCCAGGCCTCTGTGGTCCCACTACTCCCAAGACCTGTGAACCCACTGTGTGTGCCAGTCCTGCCCAGAGCTCCATGTACTTAGAACTCATCTCTGGCTCGCAGCTCCTTGGGGTGCTGCATCCTTTCTGAGACAGACTTGTGCCTCTGGCTCGTGGGCCTGGCTCCACCACTGGGAACAAGAGCCTCTGGGGAGGATCTGCTGCTGTGATCAGCCCCATGATATCCATCTCCATCGGGCTGGTTCTCTTCCGCAGCTCTCTGCTCCACCAGCTCTTCTGCCTTCACCCGCTCCTGCAGCCGTAGAGAAAAATGATATGAGACTCTCCCTGCTAGGATCTCAGACCTGCTCACAGGGCCTGGAGAGACACATATGGTCTTTGCCACATCCATCCAACCCTGCCAGAATCCATTCTCTCTTGCAGGACTCATCGGAGGCTGACTTCCTCCAGTGACTTCCTCCACTGGGTATCTTGTCAGAGAACAACCACGAACTGCTGCCCCATAAGGGAACTCAAAAGTGATTCTTCAGAGGATCTGATATAGTTTGAAGGTATTCGTGTATGTTTCTCCAGCATGGCTCTTTACCTGCTCAGCATGCTCTGCAGAGTGCGTGTACCAGAGAGCAATGGCACAGCGCCTGCCTTGGCTCACTGCCTGCACGCCATGGGGATTCTCCTTGCCAGAGCTGAAGGCTACCAGTCTCCCACACTTAGGATGCACCTTAGCCTGCCAGGAGAGAGAAGACATAATGAAACCAGCAGCCCCTTGCTCTGAGGCTCACTGTCCTTCTACAGATATAGTGCTGCCTACAGACAGTAATAGCCTGAAACATCTCTACTAGAAAGGAGTTAACCTCTTCTCTGTTTGAGATTTGCCTCAATTTGCCTTTAGCTGCCCCTATTTGAATTTGCTACAGCACTAGTGCTGCCTCCCACCTGGTCTAAATTTCATGCTCAGTCCTTTGTCCTTCATTTGGTCAGTCCCAGACCTACCGTGACAGTCACAGTGTCCATTTCAGTGAAAAAAAGGCTCCCACCGCGGAAGTCATCATTGAGGTAGAGAATGCCACTGTGGACCGAAAAAAAAAAGAGGACATATGGTTGAGGAAGCTCATTCAGCCTTGGCACTTCCCCAGACTAATTGTCATAGGAGAATGCAGCACCTAATTAATGCCAGAGGTTCAATTATCGTGAGAAACCATTTGGGAGTGTTAAATACAGCAATGCTTAGCTCAGGGGAGTCCCGAGCTGCAAGCCACAGGAGGCCAGGGCAGTACTCCATGGAGTTAGATCCACACACTCATCCCGGCTTTTGTTTTTTTTCTTAAATACTCTGCAGCATGCATCTGTGGCACCACTGTGACAATGCCGTGGGCTAAGCACACCTTAGACCTGACCTGGTGTGACCTTGTTTGTGTTTTAGTATTGTGAACAATCCAAAGCCTGGAAGAGGGGATTAATCAACAAAAAGTGCCAGGTCCTGAGAACCAAGGAATAAAGTGTAACACAGGAATGGTCAAAAAGAGGTATGGTGCATGTGGAAAAGAAAATGAAAACAAGAAGTTTCTTTACTCATACAAGACAAAAAGAGAAGCAGTGAGGTGACTGAAGTGCAGGCAAGACCACAGCCAACTAAATGGGTTGTTTAGTTTGAGGAAAAGGAGGCTGAGGGGAGCCCTTATTGCTCTCTTCCAGTATCCGAAAGGTGCTGACAGCGAGAGCGGGGTTGGTCTCTTCTCACTGGTGATAGGATGAGGGGAAATGGCCTCAAGTTGTGCCAGAGTAAGCTTAAGTTGGATGTTAGGAAACACTTCTTCACTGAAAGGGCTGTTTTGGCTGTCTTAAGCACAGGAATAGGCTCCCCAGGGAGGTGGTTGAGTCACCATCCCTGAAAAATGTGTTTAAAAAGAGCTTGGATGTGGTGCTCAGGGACATGATTTAGCAGAGGGTTGTTAGAGTTAGGGTAGTATGGTTAGGTTGTGGTTGGACTTGATGATCTTTAAGGTCTTTTCCAACCTGAGTGACTGTATGAAAAAAAGAACCACAAACTCTGTGAGTTATCCCTCATATTCAGTTAAACCAAAGAGAGAATGCCAAAGGAACAAAAGGGGCTCATTATTGAGACTAGTTGCATGAAATAGATATCAACATTGTTGCTGCTGAAGCAAAATATTAAATACATAATTTCAATTACATGATTACCAGCCCCAGAGCCCATGAAGTCATAGATCTTCTCCCATAGAGTATTAAAGACTCAAATCAGGGCTGTAACACAGGACTAGAGAAAATCTCTGATGGTTTCCATGCGTACAAAGGGACAGGAGGATTGGCTGAGGCATCAATAGGCCATCAGCTCAACTTCAGAAGTCTGCAGGGCTTTCAAATCCATTTCTGAGGAGACAGATAACTGAAGGACACAACATGGAAAACAGTTTCTTTACATGGGTATACTAAAAGCAGTTAGTTAATCACATAATCTCTGAGAAAAAAGTTAATGTCTCAAGGAAAGAAGATAACATGCTCAACTTTGTCAGTTTAGACTCTGCTAAAAACTTATCAGAGCAGTGCCACTAGAGAAATTACTAATTGACACAGACAAGGTGAAGAAGAGCATGTGAACAGCACACACTGAAAAGCACACAAGCGGCATGGAGAGGTCTACTGTTCACCTGGATGAGGATTACTGGAACTCTGGGACCCCTTGGCCCAATTCTGTTTAATATTCAATTAATGAGTATAGCACAGATACACAGAAGAAATCCAAGAAGTTTTTGAATGGTGTTTCTTAGACTTTCTGAAGCATAGGATCCTCTTTGAAAAGGACACTAGAAGAGCATGGCCCTTACTGAGCTGCTTGGTCTACCACATTTCACTCTGCAAGAGGGCAGAATACTCCTAGAAACAGCTGAGTAGCATAGATCCAGGAAGGATATTTTAATATACATTGGCATACAAGTCAGAGAACTCTACTATTCAGGGAGGAATAAGGTGACAAGATAAACTTTCCTGCAAAGGAAATAGAGAACAGTTAGAAGACAGAGCCTTGTAACCGTACTATCTGACTACACCAAGTTAACATCTATGGAAGAATGGAAATAGAATTAAAGACACCAAATGGATCCCATTTGGTCCCACATCCCTACTATAGGCTGTTCAAAGCAAATTTCTGCTCTGGGTTCAGCTACCACTCAAAGAAAAGGCATATAAAATTTTTTGGTACCCAGGGATGAGATGGTGAATAGGGAAAAAGAACAAAAACATAGTGAACTGGTCACATTTGGCTGCAACGTGCAAGGCTTGTCACCACCTTGAAAATCTATTTGTTTCTTTCACAGAAGAGTAACCGCTGCAGTCGGAAAGATTAGTGCAGTGGAAAGGCGATACAGGAGTGCAATGGCAAAAGGGGCAACAGGAAAGGAATGCTCACCCGCCTCCAAGGACCTAGGCTCATGGGGAAAAACTCCACAAGGGACGGATCTTCAACCAGAAACTGTCCCCCAGGGGCAGTCAGCTCTTAAATGAGGTCTAAGAGAGGTGCAGCCAGGCTCTACCCCTTCTGGTCACACAGGTAAACTGCCTTCACCTGCCCTCCCAGAGCTGAGCCAGTCCTTTCTCCAGGTGCTCAATCAGTGGTTCAGGCCGTGACTCAACAGTTCCCATACAGTAACAAAATCTGCTGCTATCTGGAACAATCTCTCACATGCAGTGGAAAATCCCAACTCAAAGTATTCAAAGTGAACCCTCAGAAAGAACAGTGGGAGAACAGTCACTAAAGTATACTGACAGCTCAAACGAAAGAAATTCAAAGAGCCTGGTTCTCCCTGTCCTGTAATGTGTGGAAGTGGGAGAGTAAGACTGAGAAAGACAGAATAAAATTCAAAGAAACATCTTTTTCTAAGTGCTAGCAGTAAGCTGTAGCATTATGAGAGATGAAAGACAGCTAAATATCATGGTTCTAGATCTATCAGCCTCTCAGTCTCATTGTGCACTCTGCCAATGCTGAATGTAGGGAGGGAAGACCTTTTCCCAGCCTAGGGAAGGTGTACAACACCTCACTCTGAATGCACTCATGCAGCCTTCAGCCTCATGCTACAGCCCTCATTTGAGCCAACAACCCATTGGCTGGTATTTATATAAGTTGAGCTCATACTTTCTTGGGGCTGGGGAGACATTTTGATTTCCACAAGCTCTAATGCGGGTCCCCTTCTCTTACCTGTAGTCCCTGTAGACATAGGCAGGTGGCTCTTTCCAGCACTCTTTCCCGTCAGGATCCAACAGACAGTTATCAGCATGGACAGGATGACTGAGATCCATGCGACCCTCCTGCTCTTCTGAAAAGGAAAGTTGCAAAAAAAGAACAAGAGCATTTAAAATTTCGAGAAAGAGCAGAGAGTGAGGGATTCATGAGATAAGAGGGAAGAGAGCCTCCTGAAAGCATGTGGCTGGGACTAAGAAAAAGGCTCTTTAGGAGAGGAGACTAACAGGGTGAAGGATTCTTTACCTTC